ACTGATAACTTATGTCAGATTCATAGTTGGAAATGAGATGAATGAGGAATTGCTTTTCTGCAAACAAATTCCTGGCAGAGCCACTGCAGAAGAACTCTTTAAAATCACTGACTCTTACTTAAAAGAGGCCGATCTGAAATGGGAGAACTGTGTGGGGATCTGCACAGACAGGCCATGGCTGGGAAACGAGGCGGTCTGCAAGCGCTCATTAAGCGCGTCTCCCCCAATGTGCAGTGGACACACTGCATGATACACCACGAAGCGCTGGCGTCTAAACAGCTGAGTCCCGAGCTGAATGAAGTAATGAACGACGTCATGGCCACAGTCAACTACATTAAAACACGACCTGTCAAAGTTCGGATTTTTTCAGCTCTGTGCGAGGAAATGGGCTCCGACCACACAGCTGTTCTATTTCACAGCGAGTGCCGATGGCTGTCACGTGGGAAGGTGCTGTCCAGGGTCTTTGAACTGCGAGATGAGATCHGCATCTTTTTGGAGGAGGAAGGCAGTGATCTTGCCCACAAATTTAACTGTAACAAGTTTCTCATGAAACWTGCWTATCTCAGTGACATGTTTCTGAAACTCAATGGACTGAATTTGCAGATGCAAGGCTCAAACACACACCTTCCACATCTGGCAGATAAAGTCACATCATTTATCAGAAAACTAGAGATGTGGGGGCAGCGGGTGAAAGATGGAAATGTGGACTCATTTGATAACTTAAAATCCTTCACTGAAGGCAACAAGCTGGAGAACACAGTGACCTCATGCATGAACACACACATCACTACCCTTCAGAAACATTTCCAGAAATATTTCCTGGTGCAGGAGTCCAAAGAATATGACTGGATCCGTGATCCCTTCAGTGCAACACCACCTGCCGACTTCAGCACATCAGAAGAAGAGCAGTTCATTGATACCACCTCCAATTCAACAATGAGGCTGCAGTTTAGGTCCAAGACACTGGCTGCATTTTGGATAGGAGTGGAGAAWGATCACCCTCTGCTAGGAAAGAGAGCACTGGCCACACTTCTTTCCTTTTGCCACATCCTACCTATGTGAAATAGGTTTTTCTGCTGTGGCCTCAATCAAGACCAAATACAGATCAAAGCTGGACATTAGGGTTGCAGTGTCAAAACTGCAACCCAGATTGGAGAAGATCTGCAGCAACAAGCAGGCTCACTCCAGCCACTGAAAAGATGGGAGGATTAAAGGAGAAAAAGTTTGGGAACCACTGGTCTAACAAATAAAACATTTATATGTTTTAAGTTATTTTGCTCTGTGCAAAAGAGAGATATTTGCTGCTTGGTCGGGAGGGTGTGGAAAGCTGGTTTAACCAAGGCTGAAGATCCAGAAGACCAAACAGTAGTTGTCCATCTGTTAGTCTAAAATACATTTAAACATGAAATGTTCAGTTTGTGATGTTTCTTTGACATACACCCAGCCCCTTGGACACTTAGGTAGTTTACAAAATTTATGTAGAGTAAAAGAACAAATTCAAAACTTGTTGGACTGATTTGGCATGATGTCCTGAGACGTTGCAGCTGATAGGAGTCATAAAACAGAACAGGGGGACGTTAGATACCCTGACGCCCCTCTAGATAAATGTGTTAAATGAGTGAAGAAAAATATGAGCACCAAGCAACAACCCTAGGTTCTCCCCTGAGAACCAGACCAAAAATTTTATGTGCAACCAAGTATTGAACATGTCACCATTTTTCTCAGTAAATATATTACTAGAGTTGCTAATGATATGAAATTTTCACCAGATGT